TATATATATATATCTATATATCTATATATATAGATATATAGATATATATATATATATATATCTATATATCTATATATATACACACTGAGTGGCCAGATTATTATGACCACCTGTAGTTTGTAGGCAAATTAGCTATAATTAGCTATAATTTTGCGCTGAAGTTGCTAGAGGGCCAGACCATTATAAATTGGGAATCAGGTTGTTTGCCACGACAGTAGAAGTGATTGAAGATATGGGTAAACAAAACGCAATTTAATAGCCTTTGAACGTGGGATGATTGTTGGCGCTCAAGCCATGGAGCGAGTATCAGCAAAACGGCAGAATTAGTTAAATGTTCAAGAGCAGTGTTTAAAGACTGGACTGTCAGCCGAAAATCTGGGTCTGAACGTGCAAATTGTGGCCGTCAGCGACTAGTCAATGTTAGGGCAGAGCGGAGAGTGACAAGACTGGTACAAGACAACGGAAGGGCAACAGTGCATCAAATTACTGCAGATCTTAATCAGGGATCCTCTCAAATGATCTCTGAACGCACTGTTCACCGTACACTGCATCGTATGGGATATGGAAGCCGAAGGCCTGTTTGAACACCTTTGCTGTCTAGAGTTAACAAGATAAAACGTCTCCAATTCGCACAGGAACACAAGGATTGGACAGTCGAGCATTGGAAAAAGTCATGTGGTCCGATGAATCACGTTTAAAAAGTCTATACTATAGGTTCATTAAACTAAAAGTGTATATTTATCACTAAAGATTTAACCAACTTTTACGTGAGATTTACACATTTCCAATTGAATCTTGTGTTAAAATGTGTGCAAGCTAGGTGAAAAAAAATTATAAATATTCTCCTAGACGTTTCAGCCAAAATTAAAAAAAGCATGTCTAAAGATATGCAATACAGGCAGACTTTTTTATTTTAACTCTGAAACTGATCTTGTGTTTGCAGTAGACAGAATCTACATGGAATTGTTTACTTTTTGGAAAATTAGCTAAAAGCTTTGCAATTTTTATAGTTGACCTGCAGGGCAATGTTTGTTTTTTTAACAAATTGAAGTTTAACTTAAAATAAAAATTGTGGGGTTTTTTTTACGGTTTTGACTGATACGATGACATTTATTTTGTATGCAAGAAAACAGACAAAATATATTTTTCTTTGTTTTAAAGTATCATTGCCAAATTTGGTGCAACCACATATATTTTACACTGTCATTATATGTTATACCTTATGCATTATTTTTTTTCTAGGACAGAAAAAGTCACCAGTATTTAATAGGGTCCATTGGAGTCAGTGGAAAGACCAAATGGGATGTTTTAGATGCAGTTATTAGACGGTTATTTAAGGTAACAATGAATGTTATTTGTGCATTTAAAGTGAACCTTTCTATTTCCCAAGCATGTAAACATAGAGGTGCCTGTATAATTTGCTCCATCAACTGTTTCAAAGGCAGCACTCACTCTTTCCTTGAAACACACAAGCTTAACAGTTATTTTATTGACATGTATATTTTATATAAACTTGTTGCTTTTTGTAAAAAGTCAACAGCTAAACCATACTCTCCACACCTAATCATTCTTTTGCTGCTGACATTTACAGAGAGCAGTGACTTGGGTCTTGGGGCACCAGTGTGTTGTATGTAAGCTGAATAGTTCATACATAGTGGCAGTTTCTGTAAACAATGGTAAAAGAAAGGGCTAGTTTAATATCGTTTGATATATTGACTTTTTTGCATTTTTGCTAATGCAAATAAGCATACTAACACTGTCAGGTGTCAAAATGTCCATCCTAAATATTCACATTATCCATCTATGTGCCTTCTCCTTTAACATTCCCCTCTTTACACCAGTATGCCAGTATAATACACTCATCTATTGGTATAATGCGTCAAAATGGCTAAAGATGCTGAATTAATTGTATGTTGGATGCTACAGAGGTTTTGCTATGATACAAATATCTGGATGTCCTGGAATATCAGATAATATGTAAATGTAAAAGGTCTAATAATAAGCCAAAGATTTATCAAAAAGGTAAGCAAATTTCACAGTTTTCGATAAAAAGGAGCTTTCTAGTGAGTTTATCGGCCAAGCAACACAAAATACAGCCACTTGTTAGGGTTCATCAGAGTCATCACTGTTTTTTGAGCCACTCTACCCAAATAAAAGTATAATTGCTATCAACATAAATTAGAAGTACTGAATTAAAATGGCTGTTAATCTATTAACACATCTCTGTTTCAGTAACAATAAATAGCAGAGATAGATGGGCAAATATATCAATTGTGTGATAGATGGGCAAATATATCAATTGTGTCTGCCCCATGTTGGCAAGGATAAAACTTTATATATTTTCCCTTGATCTTACTGGAAACAGCTGAAAGATCTTGGGGAAAATGAGTGGGGCAGAAAGGTGTAAGGTAGCCATATATGATTAAAAATAGCACCACAATCAGCCAAAACCTCCAGGGTTTCAAATAACGCTTAAGGGATCATATAAGACTAGTTAGACTGACCTCTGGTATTTATAATTGTTTAACTGTCTTTGGTCTGTTATGATGGTGTAACACATAGTTGTTTTGCAGATTTTGGAAAATTAGTCTCCCTTTATCTTGCCTTGGCTGTGGTTATTTGTTGAGTTTGCTTTACATCTAATATTAAACATAATTAGCAAATGCATCAAGCAGTGATATAAATGTAAATACATCTCATCTAGCTGATGTGCAGTGAGAAAAAAAGAAAACAACTGTTCTCAAAAAGGAATCAGAGCTGGGCCCTCTTAAGACCAATGATCTGCCAACAGTTGCTTTGTTACCACAGTTTTTGTGTGCCTCTGGGGACTCAAATAGTCTGACTTTTAAACAATATCATCATTACTTTTTGTACTTGTTTTGTTCAATAGGCTTTTGTAAGTGTCAAGCTGAATGCAAGTACTTGGCAAGATGTATGGTATAATTACAACAGATTGCGAACAATTTGCAATGCTGGTGCTCAGTGGGTTTCCCACTCTGAGTGCTTGCTGTAGCTATGTAGCTATGATTTAGCATTTAGCAAATCCTGCCTCTCACAGGAGTCATGTTCACTAAGTAAAGGCTCCAATTTGTGAGACTTTATTGAAAGATATTTGTAGTATTATTTGAATGATCAAATTAACATTTGTCATGCAACCATATAATACATATTTTCTTTGTATACTTGTCTTATGTGTGTTTTTTTAATATGTTATTTATTTATTAAATAAAGGCATTTAATAATGGTAACCTTTCTACATTAATACTTAAGGAATACATATACCGTGTTGATCCAGCCTCTTATCTTGGCTTAACATCAGATGCCATCATAAACTACAGTATTGGTGACTTGGTTAGAGCAAACAATACAGAAGTGCCTGAAATGTTACCTTGTGGATACCTAGTAGGAGAAAATAATATCATCACTGTGAATATTAAAGGTATATGCACTGTTTTATTTGTCTGATACGTCGCCCAGGCTGTATTAATTTTTTAGATTTCTAATTAACTTACATTAATACAATGTTTTTAATTTGTGTAATATCTTGAGATGGTAAGCTAGATGTATGTATGCTGAACTTAAAATGAACCTGTGGCTATTTTAAAGCTACTAAATATGCAGCAGACAATAAAATCATTCATCTGGAGGTCCCAGCATGTATTGATACATATTTACCAGTAGCTTCAAAACCTGCAACACTCTATTATGAAAATACAGACTTCGCTTCCCACTGTTGCATTTAGAGCAATTCCCCTACTGTATATATCATGCCTCTCTTTTGGTCCATAACTAAAATGAACAGCCCTATTTACTAATAAAATAATATAGTGGGCAGAAGGGGGTGGGCCTGATTTTATTATATTAGCTGGTTACATTAGCTTCTCTCTTTGTGGCCCTCTTTAGGCAATGTAAAAGCAGTTCGACGACATTTCATGTCTACTGCGTGTTATTGTTAAGGTTGTTGACACTGGAGGCCAAATGAATGAATCAATTGACATACAGGATGCAATAAAAGAGAAAATATATAATATATACATCTGTAAAGGTTCTCTTGCATCCAGGGCATGGTATATCTGTAAAAAATAAGTCAAGGCAACTGGACTTGCTGTATTTTTCTTGAAGAGGTTTCACTGGTCATCCAACTAGCTTTCTCAATTCAGAATGATTTGGGAATAAATGTGGTGAATGTTGCTCCACTCCACATAATCTGTTAGTCGCAGCCAGGTGTTAGGTGTTGATGCATTTGCATAATTGGAGTCTAGGAGGTGTTATTAACCTGCCTAGAGAGAGGTGTTAAAACAGCATTGTATGTGGCAGACAATAGATGTCTCACCCCCCCCCCCCCCCCTTCTACCCAACTTTGCTT